CAAAGGTGGTTGCAACCAGGTGTCGCAAACCATTTTTATATGTCGCAAATATGGTTGCAACCATCACCAAGAATTGCAATCAGCATTTACAGTATATTATTAAATACTGATCTATTTTTTTTACTGGCAAAGAAAATTCACCTTTATGCAAATGTAATTAATGATCATCATACTACATTGCTTATCAATAAAAAAACCATTGTTTGAACGAATTTTACATTCAAGAATACATTTATAAATCTTTGTTTTTTTTTCATTTCTATTATTACAGTATTAGTTGAATTAAAATAAAAATGTCATTTATTTAATTCATTGTCCGTAAAAAAAATTTTTTAATTCCAAGTCATGTGCCACTAATTTATCATTGGTCGAAATTATGCATAAGAAACGATAAAAAAAAATTTTTTTAAATAATTAATGTCCAATTTTTACAAAATGGCAACTATGGAAGGAATCAAAAATCGAGAAAGCATTGTACTTGAAGAGTATGAAGAGGTGAAGAAGAAGTTGAATGAGTGGGAAGGAGGGGAGAATTGTGGGAAGTGGTTGAACGAGTTGAGGGTGAATTTGGTTAAGAGAAAATATGAGGACGTAGGACAGAAGAAAGAGTGGGAAGATATGGTAAAGAAATTGGAGGAAGAAAAGAAGATGTTGGAGAATAAGGAAAGAGAAAGATGGGCGTTGTATGAAGAAATTTTACATGGAGGAAAAGGTAACAAACAAATTGTGTAAAAAAAATTATTTTCCATTTATTTTATTTATTCATTCATTTGTATACTGTTTGAAATGTTTGACTAACATCTACTCATTTATACATCCTCATCCATACATTCTAATTTTGGACATGTCTTAATCAGGTATGTTTTGTTAATGTAGGAATTAACCTATTGTGGTGGCTTCAGCAGAAGGTGAACAGAATTTGCACTCATCATTTTATTTGTTCAGGTTCTAAAACCCCACCAAAAGAAACTTGGCAAGATATCGAAGTAGAGCTGGATGCATTATTTAACAAAATTAAACCAGATATTGTCAAATTTTCTAAAACTAATTATCAACCATTTTCCACATGTGCTCATGGTTCAGTTCAAGTATGTTTTATGAATAAGCATCCCACTTTGCTTTTATCAGAACTTCCATCAATAGGAGAATGTGGATGGACAAAATACAGTGACATCAATCTGAATATTGGTTTTGGATATATCTTGGGAACATCAGGCTGTGGAAAAACTAGAACTGTCTTTGAAATATTATGCAAGCACTTTGGCTTGTATATGGTTGCTGAACACCAAGGAAATCTTGGGTCTAGTGAGTTAGCAGAGATTCGTGTTCGATTGAAGAAATGAATAGAAGATGTTTCCATTCATGATAGAAATGACATTGCAAAACGATACTATGAACAAGGACTATTATCAAGATATATTATTCTATTAAGGCTTTTGAAATGTGGTTGTACTGAACCTTGTCAATGGTTATATCTTCAGTTGTTTCCATATATTGATGGGATTGGTGATATATTTGTACAAACAATGGAAATCCTTCAGGCTGCTAATTCTTTAGATCTCTCAAACTATCTTGAACAGTGTGAACAGACTCTTATTGAGATGACTAACCAAAGGAAGCTACCTATTTTCTATGATGAAGCACAAATTGATGGCAATGAAATGGTGGATATGTTTTTATCAAGTTTTCAACCACTTCCTAATGATGAAAACAAGATTGATAAAAAGGTATTATTTATTAATTTTTGGTGATTTATTGACAAATTGATTTACTTCAGGCTGATCAATCACAAATCTATTCAGAATTGCGACCACTTCTGAGCATTTCAGTGGAAACATTTCTACGATCAAAAGTTTGCCTATATCTATGTGGTTCTGGTCTCTCAATTACAAATGCAATGAAAATCTTACAGTCAAAAATTTCCAAGTTTTCTTTGGAACCTGAAAGATATGTCAACTTTGGTGGATTTGATGATTATGAATCATTTCAAACTTTTATAAGACGTTTTATTGGGGTTGGGGAGATTGATGATCATTCATTAGAAGATGCATTTATCTGGTTACGTGGACGATTCAGGTTTACAACATCATACTTGGAACTAATTTTTGGTGGCCTTGAGCATACTTTAGCATTACAAACAATAAAGCATGTTGTTGCCAATATAGAAAATGAAGGTCCCACTCTTCCTGCCACTCTTTTCACCTCTGATTATTCTCTCATTAAACCTCTTAAGGATCTGATGACAAAGAACCACCCTCGACCTGACTATGTTGATGGCGTATCAGTTCTTCAACTAGTAGAAAAAGCTGTGCTTACAAAGTATTTAACAGGTCTACCTGCTCTTTTTTCCAATGATAAGGAAATGTACTTGATGGAGATTGGGTTTGCTCGTTTAAAAAAGCATACTGTTTACACTTTGAAAGCTATTGTTGATGAACCACTTGCAGTTGTGGCTGGTTTAAAATTTTTCAATGAAAGTAATGATGTTGGGAAGTTTGTGATAAAGCAAATGACATTGCAACACTATAATCCATCAACATGTGGATTTCTATGGGAACAGTACATTCCACAGGTATATTTTACAGCTTTACATGTTGATGTCTTGGATTAGATATTCTGAAAATATATATATATATATTTATATGTATACACATTCCAGAAATTAAAAGATTCTATATTCAATGAAAAAACACGATTATGTGAACATCCTCTATTTAAAGATATTAAGGAACTCCCATCTTTTTATTCTCTAACAGCAAGAATTTTTGGTTTCACAAATGATGCATCTTCTTCAGTATTGTGTCAAAAAAGTAATTCGCAAGTCAAGCTTTATGACTTTCTCCTTTCAGTTGCTAAGAGAGAGTGTAATGTTCCATTTTTCATTCCTGATGACTATGCTGGACCAGATATTGTGTTTTTTGTAGAGTTTTCAGATGGGTCAATGATAATGGTGTTGATTCAGGTAAGTCACAATAATTTGTTCTTATTTCAATAGTTTTTGATAAATTTAAATGGAATGTTCTTTTAGGTCAAGCTACGTTCAAAGCTTCACAACAAGGCTCAGGCATTTGCAACAGTTGAACCATCTTTGCTTTATACAGCGAAGGATAATAATATACCATCTGTGGAACATGAGAAGGTGGTAAAGTTGATAAAGGAGAATGGATGGGACAAAACAGTGTTGAAGATTGTGATTGCTTATCCAGCAAAATTTAAGTATGTGAATAAAGCAATTGGACATAGTTATAATACCAGAAGTAATTCAATGACTTCAACAATCCAAATTGTGATTAATCAAGATAATGCACATCATCTGTTTGATGCAAAACATTTACATTTACTAGATCATATAAAGAACCATATTGAGGATTTTGAAGGATGAGGATGATCAAACTTTAATTGAATATTTTAAATGATGCTAAACTAAACATTTATAATAAATAAATAAAAAGTCATTTTTGCAAGTTAGTATGTGTCCACGCTTGAATATAGAAATTTGAAATGATATTTGAATATCTTGCATGATTTGGATGCTTATAATTTTCGAATCAATTTATAAATTCAAAATATTTGAAAGAGCTGATACTCATAATACTTGAATATTTATAGTGTGATGGGTAAACCAGACCCCTCTTCTTCTGCAGCCACACCCTACCAAATATGGGGCATGCTACAACAAAATGAACATTGATTACCAAGAATTTCAGGGTTCAAAATTTAGTCATTTGTAATGTGACTAATATTAACAATTTTATAATATTCCATTTGGTTATCTTAATGATATATTTAATACTTTAGTAACATGAATGACAAAATCAATTATTTTGCATGTTCAAAAATAAGAGATGTAATTAATTTTCTGTTTTTTTCTTTATTTCATTAACCTGAAATAAAAACCAAAATAAGAGTTATTATTATTATCCAATAAAATTTATGTGTCAAAAACCTACAAAGTGAACATAAAATTATATATATAGGGATAAGTGTATATGAAAAGTAATAATAATAAATATAATGGTTCTAATGAATATCAAAAAGCAATTGATTTTTTAGAAAAAGGATGTGATTGTGGTTGTTCTTCAAGAATTCCCAAGGAACAATTTGCAGAATTAAGAGAATCTTTTCAAGCACTTTCCAAGTCTGAACAAGACATATTTTTAATGGCCCAACTTAAAGCAATGGATGGTGGATCAATAAGCACTAGTAGACGCCTTAAAAAGAAAACTAGATCTAATAAAAGAACTTTCTATCATTGGGATCACAATACACTTCTTTGTCAAGAAACTTATCTCAATATGTTAGGAATTGGTAGAACTTATTTTGAAAATATTAGAAATCATCTGATAAACAATGGTCTTCTGCCAAGAATTCATGGCAATATTAAAAGAATGCCTCAATGGAAAACCAAAATGGTGATTGACAAAGGTGTTGCAGAAATATTAAAGAATTTTCTGGAAAATTATGCAGAAGTCCATGGATTACCAAGTCCAGGGAGAAGTATCAATAGGATAACTCAATCAATTGTCTTTTTACCAGCTGAAATGAGTTATAAATCAGTACATAGAGATTTTCTGGCTGGTCTAGAAGAAGGTAGTAATTTGAAATCCTAAAAATATGATGCTTTCAGGAAGTTGTGGCATCAATTGACACCAGAAATTCAAATTATGAGTCCAAGAACTGACTTGTGTGATACTTGTCAACATTTTAGAGATGGTTTACATTATAATGCTTGCCAAGAGAAAGAAGCTAAAGATTTGCTCAAAAGATTTAAAGAACATTTGTCTAAGGCAAGATTAGAAAGAAATTATTACAATAAAAATACCAAATTGGCAGAAGAACAAAGAAAACTAGTTGATCAACATTATTCCAAGAGTAAAACACAATATTGTGGTATTGATGTCACTGCTCATTATAGTTATGATTGAGCCCAAAATGTTCATGTACCACATTTAGATCAACAAGTAAGTAAAATTTATTATCTTAGTCCATGTAAAGTTCATTTATTTGGTATTCAAGATGAAGCAGTAAGGGAGCAAATTAATTATGTTCTTAATGAAGATGAAATCATAGGAAAAGGTCCTAATGGCACTCTTAGTATGATTTTTGATGGAATTAAGAAATTGAATAAAGGTGAAAAGCATTTAAAAATTACTTGTGATAATGCTGGTGGACAAAATAAAAATAATGTGACTATTTGATTTTATTTATATTTGGTAATTTGTGGTTATTATGAAAGTATTGAATTAAATTTCATGGTTCAAAGTCGAGAGCGCTTTTTCTTTTTCATTTTTGTCCCCTTTTTTGTATCTTTCAATCGTAAAAATCATTTTACTATATTGTTGTAAATCACTTCTTCTTGCAAGAAATTCTTTTTCTTCCAATTCCCCTGCTTTTAATTTAGTGTAAAGTTCATTTATTTGGTATTCAAGATGAGGCAATAAGGGAACAAATTAATTATGTTCTTAATGAAGATGAAATTATAGGTAAAGGTCCTAATGGAACTCTTAGTATGATTTTTGATGGGATTAAGAAATTGAATAAGGGTGAAAAACATTTAAAGATTACTTGTGATAATGCTGGGGGACAAAATAAAAACAATGTAACAATTTGGTTTTATTTATATTTAGTAATTTGTGATTATTATGAAAGCATTGAATTGAATTTCATGGTTCCAGGACATACCAAATTCAAATGTGATGGTAATTTTGGGATGATTAAAAAACTCTATAGAAGGACCAGAGTAGACTGTCTGAATCATGTGGTTGAAGTAATAAAAAAGTCTAGTCCAGCAGGATTGAATAGAGCTCAATGTTACAAAGGTGGAAAAGGTTTTCAATACTTAGATATTAAAGCAATTTTGGTAATTTATTTTAAGAAATTACCAAGTATCCAGAAATATCAACATTTTCTTTTTGAAGCACCTAATCTTGGTATAGTCAAAGCTCAGGAAACTGCTAATGGACCTTTTGTTGAATTCAATTTATTGAAAACCAGGAAAGTAGATATTTTTGAAGAAATTAGAACTTTATCTATTTTAGTAATAACACCACCCCTTTTGGATTACAAAAGACAAGAATATCTTTACCAGAATCTCCGCCCATTTGTGAAAGATGAATACAAAGATATTACTTGTCCAAGACTATTCTATACTGGCAACAAATAAAATATTTAGAACAAAAACACCTTCATTACTTTATCACACCTGTTAATTTGTCCCCTTACTGTCATTAAATTTAATCTTTTGACAAATATTGTTAGCTTTAAAGTAAAAAAGTACTAAAATGATTTATATACTTAACATGCCCTCATAAAAAGGATATAATATATTAAATGAATAAAAAAAAAAAGTAAAACCATGACAAACATCATAGAAGCACAAAAAAAAAGTAAATAAAGAACTATTAGAAGAAAATGAAAATTTAAAGAAGCATTTAGCAGATAAAGAAGAAAATCTTAAACTAAAAATTTGACATGTTACTGGTCAGTCTCTTGATGAAAAGGATGAAGTTAGAATGTATGCTCCTACTGGGACAAGATGATACAAAAAACTAAACAAAAAATGGATGGATGAAGGCAAGTTAAGAATGGCAATAGATCCTAATGAAACTAAAGAATTGTAAAAGAATTTATTTTGACAACATTACCATTGAAGAAATGTTAGATGGATTTATTGATAGTTCTAATGAGTTAAGTTCAGAATGATTAGACTATGTTGGAAAATGAAGCAGAACCAATAGTAAACTTTATGAACTGAAGAGAGACTATGAAAAAAAGATTGAGGAGTTAGAGGCAAAAAAGGAGGAATTGGAAGCAAGAGTAGAAGAGTTAGATGATGAAGTATGAATGGAGCAAGAAGAGGCTGAAAAAGCACTAAATAAAGCCATGGAAATGGAAAAAATGACAAATGTTTGAAACTGTGTTGAAGCATGATGCTGCAATGGGTAAATTTCAAGACCGAATAGATTTATTAGAAAATAATTTAGTTGTTAAAAATCAGGAAATAAACTGAAAAGATTATTCAGCAACCAAAGAATTACCATCTTTACCAAAGGAACAAAAAGAAAATAGATTGTGCAAACTCAAAAAATTAGTAAATAAAGCAAAAGAAAAAACTAAAGAGAAGTTCCAGACTTTTATTGTTCAAAAGAACAAGTAAGCCAATATGAGATTAGAA